CACACACACACACACACACACACACACCAAGCAAACGGACATAGGGTTTTGCCACAAATCCACATCGTGCACAATGCTTTAGACTCCAACTGAATACACTCATCCAACATTCCTTCCATGCTTTTTAATGATTTCCCTTCTCCATTCGAAACCATGGCACACACAAATAATCTACCATCATTACGGCCATAAGGCTACGCCACAAAACCATAGCTTGCACAACTCGTTACGACTCCCAGTAGATATGATTGGCTGCCATTTTCTCAATGCTGTCAAAGTGCCTTCTTTTCTCCCTTCCTAGCCATCCTCCTTCCATTATCCAGTTCAAAAAGGTAGTCACTCGAAGATCCAAGGTTTCATCACCTCACTATCAACACAGGTCTAAGGTTTCATCATCCTGTTTCAGCCCTGTGGCTGTATGTGATGCACCTGACTACTGATCAAACAGATCAACATTTCAAACCCTGGTTGACGAAATGAAATTAGAGCTATCCTCCTTACGAAAAGGGAAAAAAAAACGAAAAAATAGGAAAGAGGACTTCATCTTCCAACTGTCGAGAAGGTACAAGGTTTCATTACAACGCCATCGACAAAATTAGATATTGGAGACAAATAATGTTATGTGTCCGCGCGTAACTATCAAGTACTGCACTTCAGTCTCAAGCAAATCATGTCCTCTTCGTGGCAGGGACAGTGCTTTCGACTTTGGTGGCACTCTCGATGCATCGCCGGAGAAACGTGAGGACCACAAGTCAGTTCCATGGGGGGGGGGGCTGGTAGCTCCACCGGGAAGTTTCCCCAGGATTAGCGCACATGGACCCCAGGAAAAACCCCACCCCAACAAATTTCCCAAAATGTGTGTGCCGCATGGCACATCCAGAATATCCTTATCAATATGTTAATGTCACTTAAGTTTACGGTTTAAAAAAAAAAAAAAAAAAAAAGGGCGACGTCCTTGAGATATCATCTTGAACTGACCGGCCCCGGATAATTCAGAATGATTTTTTTGCATTCAACTGGTTTCATAACTTCCATCTGGATACGAACTTGGGTCTTTAGCTTAACAGTTCATGGGTGTACCAACCAACTGGGCTAGGCCCGTCGGTACAATTGAGTTTATGTTACTTGCTGTCAATTTGAACTTTTTAGTATTTTCAGTTTATCTAACAGATGACATGATTGGTCAATTATTTGCTTTATTGAAGTTTGTTTGTATTTATTATTGGACAACAGTGCCTCATTTTGCTTTGTCATCGTGGGCCACAGCCGCCACACTCCAAAACCAGTTCGCCCATGACCACAATTGGCCATCAAGGCTCCGAGTGGCAGCCGACCTTAAATAATAAATACCGTTGATCGGCCACTAATCCAGATGATCAGGTCGGTAGGGCCTACCGACTTCCTGGATAACCTTTTTTTTTCTTTTTCTGAAATAGACTTCCTGGCTAGGCTACCAGCCGGGCCGCCCGGGTCACCTTGTTTGCCCGGGTGGCCCGGCCGTGGAAGGGCCAAAGAAGGTCCCAGACTTCCTGGCTAGGCTACCAGCCAGGACGCCCGGGTCACCTTGTTTGCCCGGGCGGCCCGGCCAGCAAGGGCCAAAGAAGGTCCCAGCACCAAAAAAAAAAAAAAAACGGAAAAAAAAAAAAAAACGGAAAAAAACTATGTTATGCAGAAAAATAAACTGAACAACTTTTGCCTCAGGGTTAAATCGAAATTCCTTACCAAATTTTAATTATTAATTTCCAGATAAAATAAGATTTAAAAAGAAAAAGAAAAAAAAAAACAGCGAAAGAGACTTGCAATATCCCTTCAAAGCCCTTTAAACTCAGTTTACACCCCCCAACCCCCCCCGGACAAGCCATTAGCGAATGGCAGGATATGGCCAGATCTCACCGCTTTTAGGCCAAGCTCAAACCTGGCTACCAGTCAGATTTGTGGTTAATTCCATACTTGCGGCGCATGTATGCGCTGCGCCATGCGTGCGAAGCAGATGCGCGTGCATCGTGCGCATCGCACATCTGAGTGCGCCATGCGCACATCTGTATGCGCCGTGCGCTGGTGCGCGCGCAACTGCGGGCTGTTCCCCTGGGTGGTGCGCCAGATGCGCCGCATTATTTTTTTATTTTTATTTTTTTCGGGCCTCCCCCTGCTGCATTGCTCGTTGCCTAGCCAAAACCGTGCCTTTCTGTGCTCCCCGCGACGACGAGGGAGAGATGGACGACGAAGAAGGAGGAGAAAGAAGGGGGGGAAGGAGGAGGAGAGATGGACGAAGAAGGAGGAGAGAGAGAGGGAGGAAGGAGGAGGGAGAGATGGATGAAGAAGAAGGGAGAGAGGAGGAGAGAGAAAGGGATGAAGGAGGAGGGAAAGAAGGACGAACGATAGGTGGGAGAAGAGGAGGGAGAGATGGACGAAGGAGGAGGAGAGAGAAGGAGCAAGGAGGAGGGATAGATGGACGAAGGAGGAGGAGGAGGAGAGAGAAGGGAGGAAGGAGGGAGAGATGGACGAGGGAGGAGAGAGAGAGGGAGGAAGGAGGAGGGAGAGCCGAAGGAGGAGAGAGAGTGAGGAAGGAGGAAGCAGAGAATGGATGAAGAAGAAGGGCGAGAGCAGGGAAGAGAAAGGGAGGAAGGAGGAGGGAGGGACGCTGGTGTCGCGCGGAGCGAATGGCCCTGTGGTTACCGACAAAACAAAAAGAACAAAAAAAACAAAACAAAGGTGATTGGATGGTGGAGTATTCGAAGGAGAGAGAGAGGAGGAGGGAAGACCGAAGAGAGAGAGAGAGAGAGAGAGAGAGAGAGAGAGAGAGAGAGAGAGAGAGAGAGAGAGAGAGAGCTTGAAAGGGAGGTAGGAGGAGGA